TCAACACACAGATACGGTCCCAGAGTCAGGCACAAGAGCAAGGCTTCAGGTTCCTACAACTGATCTTACTCTTAAAATGTGAGTTTAAAGCCAAATGCACACTGGATACATGCTGAGGCCTTTCACACACCGTGAGCTGAGAAAGAATGACTTACTGCCAGGCTAAAATGATGATCTGTTATTATGGGGAGGGGTTATTGGACAGCTAACTGAGGCTGAATGAGTGCATGCGTTTCATCTTACCGTTTGTTCAGCACCATGTTTCCCAGCTTGAGGTCTCTGTGCACAATGTTTTTCTGCATGCAGGGAAAAAAAGTGGAGAGGAGAAAAACATTTGCTTAGTTAAATCAGAGGTATAAAAACAGTTTGTTTCTGAGAGAGGCACACAAAGATGGGAGATGAGTAATTGAAATGGATCTGCAACTAGCTAACAAAGAAATTTCTCCTACAATTGACGAAAACATTGTAGTCCAGGCTTTCTTCATTGATTAAAGAGGTGGTAGTGTGGTCATTTTCAGATTCAAAATCCTATTTAGAGGTTGTACCAGCACAGATTTACATAGTTTAATTTAAAAAAAAAATAAAAAAACCCACACACCATATTTTTTGTCATACTGCACATGGCTGTAGCTCCTCTTTTCACCCTGTTGAAGGCTTTGTTTTAGCTCTGGAGTGATGCATCCTGTCTCTAAATTGATCTTTGTTGGGAGTTGCACATGCGCAGTTCCTAGTTAAGGACTACTAGCCAATCAGAAGCAGAGAAAGGCGAGTCAGCGAAAAGACCGTAAACAGCTTCGATTCAGCTGTAGGCTACTTGTTGCCGACCAGCTTGGTAATTTCGACTGGAGCAAGAGTTTCAGAGTGGTGAGTTATTAATCTGAAACAAAAGTATCTTTCATCCATAAAGTTTTAACTGCTCTGTCTCTACATCACAGTAACAACTTTATGTCCATTGACTGCCTGGAGGGTAGCTAGTGTTTGGAAGGGAGAGGAGAGGTGTGCTGCAGCTCAGTGTTTTTTCCACCATGTTTGAGGGCGTGTCAGACTAGTCGCTCAGCAAGCATTATCGCACGTATTTTCTTGTGACATCACAAGAAAGCGGAAGTAAAGGCTGGACTACAAACAAGCTGTTTTCAGGCAGTTCAGAGCAGAGTTTTCTGTGGGAGATGGGAACTCCCTTTGGGGTGGACTCTGGGCTTTTAGGAGAAAACTCATCATAGACTCACCTTATGTAGGGCCTCCACCACACGCACCACATCGTAGAAGATTACGATGGCCTCACGCTCGCTCAGTCGCTTCTCCTTTATGACATAATGCTGGAGGTTTATTAGATCTGCCGTCTTGTCGCTGAAGTCATGAGCACACAAGCAGTCCAGCACGAGGCAGATCCGCTTCTTCATCTTGCGCACCTTGTTGGCCTCCATATCCTCCACTATTTCATAGGCGCGATCCTGGGGAACAACAAAGTGTGAGCGGTTATCTTCACAAAATATGCTTACTTTGTAAGTGGACAGAGACGTGGATGTACATTAGAGGCACTTTCCAACAGCATCCAAATCAATATAAGCTGAGGCATCTATTAATGCATCAAACTGAATGGATTCCTGTACTATACCGGCTGACCAATGTGATAAGACACATCTACCCCTCCACACAGGGTGGCGGAAACGAATAACAAAAGGTCATCCCTCTTCTTCCAACTCCAGTCTTAGCAGAGTCACCAGTTCTTATTGATTTCTGTATCAGGTTGTCAGTTTTTATTTATTTTTTTAGATGCAGTCAGCACCTCTAAAAGCGTACATATTAACTGGTTCTTTCACAGTGGAGATGCACTATAATAATTCAATCAATATTGCAGGCCTAAATGAATCAGAGTGCATGGCTCAATGCTGCTATTCTGAGAACACAGGCAGAGTGGAACTGAGACGGGGGGAGAGGAGAGAACAATAACAAAGTTAGAGGCAGACGGGAAGACAGGTGGGGGGTGGTGGTGGTGGGGGGGGCTTGGTGCTCATTGTGAATGGATGGGGCCGTGAATAGAGAACGACTGCAGATAAATATGGCCTTTAATGGTACTCCCACTTTTCTACTGAAGCACTCCTGATAGAGAAAATGCTAGCAGCTGGTTGGACTAATGACAAGCTAACCTCTGCTATTGCTGAGCTGATAAGAGCATGCCGTTACTTGTACTGACATGGTGATGCCATATTCTGAACTGAAGAGAATGTGACAGAAACTTCTCCATGGCAATGTTGATGCATTCAATAATTCAGAATACTCGCCCACACAGTGCTGAGTAATACACCACAAACCGTTGAAAATACTTATTTTTGCCCATGATATTCATTATCTTACTGATGATGATACTATACACCTGTCAACAGAAATGTAACTTATTGCCAAATGTGTGTCTCGGTCTACCTGGAATAGGCCGTGGTGGTGGACCACCCCATCCTGGTTGTGCAGGAGAGAAAGCAGGGAGTACTCCGTGTGCAGCAGCATCTTCCCCTGTCTCTCTTCCTGAGTCTCCCCTGCAGAGTCCACCCGCTCCTCCAGTGTCAGGATCTGCCATAACCACACACAAGAAGAGAGTCAACATCAGAGGTGACAAGAGTTTAAACAGGGTCAGACAACGGAAAGAGAAGTTTAATCATTAGTATGAAGCTAATCTTTGGTCCTGACACTAAGCTTTTTAAGTGACATGACATTAACTTACATCTGCCTAGCATACTATAAGAAGTTACTATCCGTTTAAAATAGTGGCTCATATACATGTGCAGTAAACAAGCTGTGCAGCAGACACTGAGGCGCTGTAGTCACGGGTATGAGGGAAGGGTCACACACTGACTCACTACATGGTTGTGAGGGTTAAAAGTCGACATTCCAGGTGGGGTGCTACCTTACTCTCCCTTTGCCCCCCTTCTATAGCCCCCTCCCTTGAATCACATATTCAGGATTGGATAGCCCCAATAAACAGAGTGCTGAGGTTTTGTTGTTTGTGCCAGACTGAAACAGGGGGCTATAAAATAAACACCAACAAACGAAGGTCAAAGGTTCAGATGTCTACTAGGACATCTAACTTTGTTTATAATGATATGGTCTATGAATCATGTGCTTAATCATCACGTGTTAACCCCAACAGACTTACTTTGAGCTGATAGAAGTCGTCAGTGCCGTCCTTTCTGGCCAGACATTGCACTATGCTGGGCACTGGTGAGTTGCCCAGGCGAGGCCCTGCAAGTAGAAGAAAAAGGAACAGCTGCATGACCAAAAGGCAGGCTACATGCTGGAGTGTGTGCTCTCGCTGCAACTCATTAAAAGCTGCATGTGCACGTACCCATTAACACCCCTAGTGTAATGTTTTCTTTGGCACTCTGTATTGCAAATAATGGAGGCGTTTCGTAGTAGAAAACATACAAGTTTAAGAATATGAGAGAGAAATATATTTTCCTTAGCCTTAATGTCTTACACTCAGACGTTTCTGGCCAATGTCATGGGGATCAGCAAAATTCTTCACATTCTTGTCTCAGCGTGCATACGCACAGAGGCACCCCACGATTCTCACATTCACTCAAACACATACCTTTCTTGATTTCCTGCCCACACACACACACACACGTTACATAAATTCACAAACAATTGTACACTAGATGCAATCTCAGCCACACAGACATATTGACTACTATTACCATATTTTTGGGGCTTAGTGCAAACACTAGTAGCTTCCTTACCAAGTATGAAGGGCCCAGCTCTCTTGGCATTATTGCCAGATATCCCAGGACATTGTAGCTTGCTGGCCCTGCCTGATGCCTCTCCAGCCCCCCTGTCAGACGAGCGCCGCTTGGACATACTGGGGATCTATATGGAGAATATTTTAGATTAATACAGGGTTAAAGATAGTGAAGTTAAAGAGTAAGAGCATACATGTGGAATGCAAAAGCTCAACTGATGACAAAAAAATAGCAGCATCCGTTAGCCATAACCAAACAATGGTTAAATAAATAGTCTGCTTATAAACAAACTATACGCAGAAAGCAACTAGTGGTCCTAACAGGCTGGTCAAGAGCGTACTGATTAGTGAACAGAAGCCAAAAGGAGGTAAACTTCAGGGCAGCTCCTCCCTGCCTTTTTTAAATATCCCTCCCACACATTTACCAACACTTAAGTGTGAATATGAGGCCATTACAGCTCCATTCAGAATGATGGCTGCTGGTGTCAATGGTGACACCTCAGATTCAATCTCCCCAACAGGCAATGCAAATGTACCACAATTTGCAATTTAAATAGAAAATACTCTCATGTTAATGTAATGCACCAGCACACAATTCTTTAAAAAGAAGAATTTCTTTTATGTGTTTCAGCACCAAACCACATATCCATTTTTAGCTTTTCATGTAACAGTGGACATGGGTTTAGACAATCCTTCCGCTCTTAATCTGCCATTTTATCTCAAAATCTGTACAGCCAGCTTATCTGCGCAGACCTTCCTCTGAAAGAACGTGTGTTCAAACAAGGCTGAAACATAAAAAATGACAAGCCCTTTCACTTTAACAACAAACAAGATTTACATGTCAGAAGAACCAGTGACAGTGTGACACGTCATCATTACATAAACTACTTTAACTGCCACTGCAGATCTAACTCACAGGATTCAGAGCAAGAGGTATGCTTTGTTTACTGATACTGAACCAATGTGATGAAACCTCATCTGTTTCCCGTAACAGGGAAGTAGTGCCTTGAACCGACAGGAATGATTCATTCTGCTGTCGTCCTGAGTTTCCATTGGACAGAAAAGCTTAAATGTCCAGGTGAAGACACCAATAAGTGAATAAAATGTGCCCCCAAGACTCTGATATATGAATCACATCAACTGGGGGGAAAGGACAAAAGAGTAAGTAAGAAAAAAAAAATCACCTGAGAGATGTTCAGTCCACAGGAACACAAAGTGACATATCTGAAGTTAAAATGTCAGTGAATGATTGCACTGGTGTGCATATTTTAACCCACTACACAAGAGAGGTGATTCAGACTAACAAAATCCAAAACAAAGTATTTTCTGCAAACTAACATGGAGAGCTGACAAACGCTAAAATACTTCAGAATATGTAAGCAGTGGACAAACTACAGAACATTCATATTTTTAATGAATTGGGCTATCTTCCTGTTTCAAAACTAATCGTGCGCCACTCGCCAGTTGGCGTTTTTGGGCAGAGAGGAGGCAGGACAGTTGGCAGTCAGTATGGGCTGGTATGAATTCTCACTTCCATGAGGCTTTTTGTGATCCCAGACAGCAGACAGTGTCATCATCGTGTCTCTCGCCCATCTGTCTCCATCTCCACTAGTCATCACCCACTGAGTCTGATGAGCTGAGGTTTTCTGACAGCATTTATGGCACAAGCCAGAGTGACACCAAGTCATGCTGCAAATAGTAAGAAAGCATCTTACTCTAGAGTCATGCAAGGCAAAGCAATGGATAATCTAGCGGCAAAAGTGGTTGGCAGATTTGACAATGTACATACTGCTTTCAGTGCTGCCAGAAAAATACATTTTTAATTCTTGGTTGAGCGCTACAAATGCTGCTGGATTGAGTAAAATAAGCAGACAGCCAAAACTGACAGGCATTTCATATGTGGCCTTTCTAACAAAAGTGCAATCTGTGATTGTACCTTTTATGCATTTATTTTCTCTACAGCTACATAGAAGGGAAAAAAAACAAACAAACAAAAAAAAACACCCCATCTAATCCATGCACCTTGGACTGTAACACCAAAGTGACTCATGGACATACACTGCGACACGACACACAACAAATGAACCCAAGGCTATTCATCTACCTACTAAACACCAGATGCAGTGCTGTAGAGCCAACCCCTGACACATCTAAAAAGCAAAGGTCAACGCAACCAACTGATGCACACTGACCTAAATGACATCAGTGTGATGACAACACACAGCTATCCTTTTCTGACACTGCTGTGCCTCTCTGCACAGCCAGTGATCTGGCAAGCAAGACTGCCTCTGCCTCTGACTGTACCACAGGGAGGACAAGAACAGATACAGCCTCTGAATCATATCACACAAAAAGGAGGAGAGACATGCTGCCGGTGCCCACGGGAAATGTGGGCTCCCTAAATAGTATCAGAACAAAACAGCCATGTAGGTGTCTCAAGATCCACCCACCCAGACTCCATGCCACTTGTCTGGCTCTGCAAGAACAGCTTGATTGCAAAAATCAAGGTAATATCAGGATGTACAATGAACGCATAGGGATATTTGAGTAGGTAGTAAACAAAGTGGATAACAAAATCTGGAGCGAACATAAACCCAGCGAGATAGTATGATCCAAATCAATGGATTCACATATAACGTTACACCAAACACAAAAGTCAGGACAAAGAGGTGAAAGCAACTCGAAGGTCATAAATGCTTCTATCCTGCTGCTTGGATGAAACGTCAATCATTCATGTCAGCTCATACATCAACGGCTATCAAGCCTACCTCTTACTGCAGACCACATTACTGCAATAACAACGTCCACAACACGTCTGTGTACACAAGGTCACATTATAAACCGCTAGACGAAAATAATTACAAATGCATGCAGACTGTCACACATTGTTGGTGCCATTTTGCGACCGCAAGGTCTGGACACCGTTCAGTTCTGGCAGCGATAAGTGTAAACGAGACGAGTCGTAGAGTAAAACGCTGACGTTATGCCTTACACCTTGTGCAAAACCACTCCACAGACAGCTAATAACTCGTGTAGCCAGATGCTAATGTGTTTTGCCCACAACTATTCCAAGTTGACCACCCTGAGACGTTTAAAAACACACACGCTAAACCACGTTAACGTTACATGGCGTGCGTTGATGTAACAACGTCTGACTGAGATGGTTGTTTAAATAAATACAAACGCAACTAACTGTTTTTACACGACATATATTTACGCAAGCTAGCATAAAACAAAGCTTGAGTGCACACACAAACTTAGTACGACAACAAAGCTGACTGAATTCCTCGGCTGAAGACGCTGCCAAAGCTTCAGGCACACAAAGGGGCACACAACACAACAAGGAGTTGGGCTTTCGGTGCAAACTAAACAGAGCAGCCGTTACTAGCTAGGTTACTGCTACATTAGCGTGGATTCGTATGTGCTAGAGAGTTTTCAGTATGATTGCTGGCGGGCGACGTTAGCTAACGCCAAGCCGGGCGCTACAGAACAGCCGGGAGGCCATTTAAACAAAGTAGGTAACATTACAGCTGGCTAGCCTTGCCCGAAAGCTATAGCAATGTAGTCGCCACCTCGCTTACCTCGAGCCAAAACCGCCGGGTAATGTCTGCGTTGTCTGCTTATAACATGGACATTTCTTGGGTACACGCTGTGGTGGGTATGCGGAGGTGGTCTCTTAAACAGGAGCGACCACAGAGGGTTGGTTTCGCGTTGTTGAGGCTCTGTTACCGAAATGAGCAATTAAGGAAAAGCCTCCGCTCTTCGCTGATCGCATCTTTCCACAGCGACAGCGCCACCTGACAACGGAAATGACGCACACACATTTATTTGATTGACAGCTGCGCTCGACCAATGTCAACACCTATCTGTTTTTTCCTAGTAAATGGTTTCGCGCTGATGATGAAATTCTTTGCACAATAAAAGTTGCAAAATGAAACACATTACGTCATAGTTGTCTGTATGGGGATGTTTTGAAACATTAAAGTAAAGTTTAAGTGCTATTGCAGTTAGTTTTTTATTTGTGTCCTGCAAATAACTGCCCAGGCAATGAGACAAAACCAGAAACATTTGTCAGACAGAGCATAACTTCTTACAATTAACATTACAAACTAAGAACGTCTTTTGTCGTCTACAAAGGTCCACAAATAAATATTATAATCATCCAGCGATAAGAAGTGATCTGAAATTAAGAAAAAAAAAAAGCCCTTTAACATAATGAGCAATATAGCGTGAAAATTAAGTTAATCTTCAGTCCCACTTAAATCGCATTTAAAAAATAGCCATTTCTCTTCAGGCAAACCATTAAACTTACCTGTTCCTACAGCTAAACTGAATATACAGTAACTGTGCACATTGGCTATTGGTTAAAATGTTGTGTTATATAAGGCTCTACAAAAAGTAGTTGCTTTATAACACATAAGACACATATTGCATTTTATTCGGTTTAACCTCAGACTCAGATCAATGACTTCATCTAGCACTCATCTGATAAAAGCATTCGATTTTCAGTTTTTGACAATGCTTGAGATGCTGCTAGATGTGTTGAAATTGCTATTAGACAAGTGCCATTAAACACAACCATTGATTCAGCTCACTAAAAAGTCAAGTTCTTTCTCCTTTACTCAGCAAACATAGTTTTAATGACAGTGACATTTAGTAAAGCCCACCTATGTTCCCAATTTAGACTCCCCAACTGACCTTAAATTACACCCACAGCTACCAGTTTCAAACCAGTGGGCAGGTGTGATAGACACAGAGAGGGCAATCTAAATGGCAGAGACTTGTTTGCGTTGCACTAGTCTTCCTGCCTTGACTCAGCAGAGCATATGCCCCCGGCCACATGAAACATTTGTCAGCTTGTGGCTTTACAGTGTCCTGCCCACAGTCTTCAAAAAGGAAACTGAATCATAACTCAAAATACAGCGTTTGTGAGAGAAACATGTTTTAGTGGCTTATTTGGCATGTTAAGGGAAAGTAAGGTTGAATGGACTTTAAATACTTTTTTGTTTGTAAATTCATATTTTTGTAACATTACTTGTGGGCTTAATGGACCAAGCACTGCACATCTTCCCCATACAGCACTTTTTACACTTTGTAAGGGAAACATCTATTTGAAATAAGTGACTATTATTTACTATCTTAGAATTCACATCTGCGTTGCTTTTGAATATGCCACTGAAATAGAATTATCTTGGTTATGCAATATACATAGGGAATTCGGCATATCTTTATGGTGAAATATTGTTTTCTTGTGAAGTTGGTTGATTCCAGCGAACAGTCTTGCAGGGTGGCTGGTGTGAGCTCTGGTTTCTGTTTGTTTTGCACGTAGGTTGTATCCTCAGGGCACTTGGTGTCTCCTTTGCCAACATTATTGGGAAGACCTCACTGGAATCCTCCTCCCCCAGATCAATTCAGAGTAATGTCCCAACATGTTTAGCCTGCATGGTATGCATCATGTTTGTGTGTGTGTCTGTCTGAGTATGGTTGACTGGGGGAGTGCAAACAATCTCACTTTAACCCGTTTGCAAGCAGACTGCACACAGATATCTTGGGTGCAGAATGCTGTTGCTATAGCAATTCTCATTGTAGTTCTGTGAAGCATATTGCATTTAATGTTCTGGTTTGGTTGTTAAATATGTAAGTATAAATAGATATACAATCAATCACAAATTTGTTGTTTTACATTTCAGTGAATCCTACCTTCCTAAGGCAAGTGAATTTGCGAAATAAGTATGCATCACCTTTTGGTGCATTTAAAAAAAAAAAAGACATGAGTGCATAATAAACAGCACTGTAGCAAGGTGTTGTCCTCAGTTTGGACAGTACATGACAGTAAGTGATGTTTAGAAAGGTTAGTCAGCTCCCTCTACTGTTAATTTATTTCAACTACAACATGCTGTTACAAGGTTCATGCCATTTGGATTGCATCAGTACCCGAAGCCAATGATGCAGTTTATACAATAATATGCATTTACGAACCTTTTTTATTGAAGCTATTTATTAAAAATCTTACATTGTATTCAACAATTTAACAACTGCAGCAATATGCACTTCCCTATACACAGACAATGTTACATTCAAATAAATAAATTATGCAATAAACATATTTACATATTAGACAATAACTTATATTGCATTACTCTATATTATACTAACAAATTTCTGGACCATAGCTCAACATTCAGAGACATCTGTAGTGAAAAATGTCTTTCAAGTTGCTCCTCATAGTGTCTTAAGGTAGTACAGCGTGATGCAAAATAAACATAATTCTTACCAAAATAAAGATTTGAGGGAATGTGAATTATAAAGAGCACTTGGGTTTCATCCAATTTCCCCACAATATCATTTAACAATGTTTTTATAACAATACAGAAGAATACAGAACCTAACAAATTCTAAATTAATACTGTGTAACAAACAAACATGAAATTAGGGACTAAAAGCATGAAAATCATCTAAAACTGTGATGTATTATTAACATTAAAAATAAATTATGTAAAGGAATGTGTATTTTGCGTGCAGCAGCACAGTCGGACCCAGAAAAATGCAAAATCTTGACTTTTTACAAAGAGATGTTTTGCAATTACCACATACACATGTTGAAAACACTGATATAGGCCTACTGTATGTTTGATGTACTGAACCTCTTTTCAGTTTACAGAAAACATACCATTACAGTGTATTGCAGCTTAAAGCTTGGCTCGCCACATTCTTAATTGTTAGCTATTCAAATTTGCAGTTTGTAGTTGGTCATTTGAGAACCAATGGAAACTGATCACATCTGCATTTTGAAAAGCACCCAAAGAAGGTTTTCTGGCTGCACGTGAGGTTGCTGCTGTGTATTTGCAGGCACAGACAGCAGACTGGTCCTCGGTAGAACAGACTGTTGACGATGCATTGTGCTGCACCCCCTGGGCATTTCTGTCAGGGTGACCACGTTACAGGCCGTCCATCATGGCCAGAAGGTCATCTCCTTTGCTGCTGGCACTGGGAGACTGATCGCCAGACTCTGTGAACTCTCCCATGATCTTGGCCAGCTCTGCATTGGCTTGCTGGTTCTAAAAGAGAATGTAATCCACCAATGAAAGAGCCAGAGTGGCCATTACAGGGACTTATACCTCATTACAGTAAATCTTGTCAGACTGGCAAAGCCTCACATCTCTGATTATTGACATATAACCGTAAGCTTTTCATTGAGATAAGTTAAATTGGGCAAGATCATTATCATGAGTAAAAGACCAGTTGTTTCAGGTTCGGCCAATGAAGCCTAAAATAATTTTGCCACATTTTGCCTATCCAATACACATTTCTTAGATCTGAGACATAAACCCTGAAGCTGGCGTGAAATCTGTGCTTACAGTGGCCCTGAAGTGAAAACCACAAAAGCAATTCGCACAACATAAAATCGTCACAACACAACAGCAAATCGCTACAACACGACAGCATTTCACCACAATTCGATTGCAATTCACCACAACACTACTACAAATCGCCACATCAAGACAGCAAATCGCCACAACACGACAGCCAATCGCCACAAATCGCCACAACACGACAGCACTGGTGAGACTGAAAGGGAAAGGGTAGGTACTGCAGTAGATTACCTACCAGCTGTCGTGATGTGGAGATTTTCTGTCGTGTTGTGGCGATTTTGCTGTCGTGATGTGACGATTTGTTTTCATGATGTGAAATGCTGTTGTGATCTGGCGAAATGCTGTCGTGATGTGGAGATTTGCTGTCGTGATGTGGCGAAATGCTTGTCGTGATGTGGCGAATTCCTGTTGTGGTTTGCACTTCAGGGCCGTATGTGCTCATGCCCATCACAACAGGTCCCTATAGTTCGAATGACTCTGAGACAGGTCCTGACCACAGAGCTCTCTCAGAAGTTGTGCCATTTTTTAAACTTGTTTGATTTAATCAGAGCCAATAACGAGATGCGCTTGTAGTTGAGGAACCTCGGAGATGAGTCTGAGATGGGAAGAGAGCAGTATCTAATCAGAGTGCAAGAGGAAACTAAGGCCTCTGAAAACTGGATAGTCCAAACAAAAGAGACATCATGGCTGCAAAGGGGGGCAAAGATAGGGACTAGCATTACGCATGAACAGATGGAGGGAAGGCTCAATGAACTCCGGCCCCAGTCAAGCTCCATCACTAGCCAGACATAAACAAACATAATGTCCGGTGAGGGTTCCTGTTGACTATCACAATCACTGCTGTCCCAGATCTCTCTAACTAGAGTAATGTTGTAATCAATACACCTTGTCTGAGATCAGTTGTTTAGTTAGTGCACCCTAATGTCTACATGACAAGATTCAGGGACAGAAAACGTGTACTGCTTTGAGGAGCACAGCAACTCAGATTTTCAGACTCATGTAGTAATACTGAACATTAATTTTTTCCTACTCAAAGAAACACTTTGTGAGGACAGACATCTCAGCTTTACCTTTGTTGCTTGAATGTTTATGACTCCATATGAAAGTTCATCTGGTCTTGATATTAATGCCTCTCTGTGATAAAAGAGGGTCACAAATAAATTGTTGGATTTTTTCACACAGGGAAAAGTAGCAGTAGCATGTGATTAAGTGCCATACAACACGAATGTACACAATACAAATACAAGGACTCACTCTTCTTCCTCGTCAGTGGTAAAGAGGTTGACTCTGAAGCCGCTGTCTGCATTCCCTGGTTTCTGAACTTCTAATCCTCCCATTAACTTGGCCAACAGATTCAGCTCCTCTTTGGCCAGAGGGTTGGGAGCAGTGTTGACCTGTTGACACACAATGGCTTGTTTACGTCAATATTAT